GGAGCCCGGTTGATCAAGCCGACTTGTTAGATTTAGAAAGAAACCCTCGTTCAAAGTCTGGTCAGCTTTAATCTAGGGCCGTTAAATTTTTTCACCCCTACTTATTTTTTCTTGGTTCCCGCTGCCTGTCTCCAAAACTCCACCCCGCACCTTCAATCTTTCAGCCTCCATGGGAGACTGCCAAATCATAGTTCATGATTTTTTTTTTTTTTATTTTCGTGAAGGCATTTAATATTTTGATTCTTTTTTTTTTTTTTACTTTTCGTGAAGGCATTTAATATTTTGATTCACAATTGCAAATAGTTCAATCTTAAATGTCAGCTCTCCCACAACTCACAAGCTAGAAAATATCTAAATATATTAATAGGTTAGAAAGATAATAACCAATCCCAATTTCTTCTCCCCCTATGGCCTAATGTAAAACAAAAGACTCTTTCCAAAAAAAAAAAAAAAAAAAGAATCTGACTATTTTGAACTTAGAACCTACAACAAACTGACAGAAAATTTCCATTATGCACACTGCAGTTTTCTACCTTCTCCTTCTCAGTCCCCTTCTTTCAACCATTGCAATCCAAAACCTGTCTCCTTACACCCCTGCGGATCTAATTCTCCTAAATTGTGGTGCACCAAATGAAGGACAATCAATGGATGGCCGGAACTGGGAGGGTGATGCCGGTCATAGGTCCAAATATTGTCCTTTCAACTCTGAAATCTCATCACCTTCCAAAGCCTCCCAACAAGACTCTTCTGTTACTCCGGTACCCTACATGACAGCTCGAATATATCGCTCTAAATTCACTTGCACGTTTCCTGTCTCCATGGGACCAAAGTTTATCCGTCTTTATTTCTATCCAACTACCTACTCAGGCCTCAACATATCAACATCCTTCTTCTCCGTCACTGCGAATGATTACACCCTTTTAAGTAACTTCAGTTCATATCTAACTGTTTCTGCAATGCAACCACCAGTTGCATACTTTGTCAAAGAATTTATCATCTCTGTATGGGATAACCAAGCAGTCATCAACTTAACTTTTACTCCATCTCCAAATTCTTTTGCTTTCATTAATGGCTATCTAACTGTTTCTGCAATGCAACCACCAGTTGCATACTTTGTCAAAGAATTTATCATCTCTGTATGGGATAACCAAGCAGTCATCAACTTAACTTTTACTCCATCTCCAAATTCTTTTGCTTTCATTAATGGCATAGAAATAGTTTCCATGCCAACCAATCTGTACGCAAAAGATAACGACTATGCTTATCCCTTTGTAAATGACAACAGTATCTTCAATTTCGACAACACAACGGCTCTTGAAACTGTTTGTCGTCTAAATGTTGGCGGAGGAGATATTGAGAATGTAAAAGATATAGGAATGTTTCGACCATGGTCCGATGATTCCAGTTATCTTTTTGGTGGTCTGTCTGGTGTCGTGCATAAGTGGCGCGATAACGTCACAATAAAATACAGTAAGGATACGCCAGCATATGTTGCACCAGAAGCTGTATACATTAGTAAACGTACAATGGGTACAGATTCTATGTTAAACAAGAATTACAATCTCACCTGGCACTTTTTGGTTGATTCTGGCTTCAATTATCTTCTCCGGCTCCATTTTTGTGAAACTGACGAACAGATCACTCATGAAGGTCAAAGAGTGTTTTCCATATTTATAAATAACATGACAGCCGTAGCAGATGCAGATGTGATCCACTGGAGTGGTGGTAATAGCATTCCAGTATACAAAGACTATGTCATTTTGGTCCCAGGAGGAGAAAGCCATAGCAAGAAAGACTTGTGGCTCGCTTTACACCCCAATACTGATCTGTTAGCTTCTTATGCTGATGCAATCTTGAATGGTCTAGAGATATTCAAGCTGAACAATTCAGATGGTAATCTTGCCGGATCCAACCCTGAAGCACTAATGGTAGTTCCTTCATCACCAGAACAACAATCAAGCTTACAGAAGGGGACAAAGATTAAAGCGCCATCTGTTGTAGTTATTGTTGGTGTTGTAGTAGGTGTACTATTTGCTTTTTCTTTTGTTCTATTTTTCTTTATCCTCAAACGAAAAGGGAAAGCAAAGGACATTGATGATATTGGTATGCTACTACCAACTGATCTTTGTCGTCAATTTACAATAGCTGAAATCAGAGCAGCTACAAGAAATTTCGAGGATCAAAATATTATTGGCTCTGGGGGTTTTGGAACAGTGTATAAGGGCTATATCGAAAATGAATTCATCCCGGTTGCAATTAAACGGCTAAATTCAACATCGAAACAGGGGACTCGTGAGTTCCATACGGAGATTGAGATGTTGTCCAAGCTCCGACATATTCACCTCGTCTCTTTAATTGGATACTGCGATGATCAAGATGAGATGGTTCTTGTATATGACTACATGCCACATGGGAACTTTCAAGATCATCTGTACAAAACACAGAACCCTCCTCTCCCATGGAAACAAAGGCTACAAATATGTATAGGTGCTGCAAAAGGGTTGCATTATCTCCATACGGGTGTAAAGCATACCATCATCCACCGTGATGTGAAGTCATCAAACATACTATTGGACAGGAATTGGGTGGCCAAGGTTTCGGATTTTGGTTTGTCAAAAACAGGTCCCACTGGTGAAGACCAAACCCATGTCAGCACTGTTGTTAGAGGTAGTGTAGGCTACCTTGATCCCGAGTACTATCGCAGGCAACACCTCACTGAGAAATCTGATGTCTACTCGTTTGGGGTGGTGTTGTTAGAAGTACTATGTGCCAGGCCACCAATCATCTCAAACCTGAGCAAAGAACAAGTGAACTTGGTTGAATGGACAAGAAATTGTCATCGAAAAGGAACTTTTGATGATATTATTGACTCGCAGTTGAAGGGTGATATCACATCTGTCTCTTTAAACAAGTTTGTGGAGATTGCTGAAAGTTGTGTGCGTGAAAAAGCAACTGAACGGCCAAAAATGGGTGATGTAGTATGGAGCCTTGAATTTGCATTGCAGCTTCAAGAATTTACTGAGAAAAATGTCAATGCAAGTGATATTGTCCGTGAGGAACTGCAAGAGTCATCTATGTCATACAAAGAGGTGACTACCACTGATGGTGATGATCTATTTACATTCTCAGGTGGAACTATTCCAGATTCAAGGAGCACAATTAGTTTCGGTGAGAAGAGCACTAAGAATAATGACTCTGATGAAGTGGGATTGTTTTCAGAAATAATGAATCCACAGGGACGATGAGATTGAAATGAACCCTAATGTGAGATTCACTTGGATGTGTATGTTATAAAATGCAGTGTCTTCAATATGTTATATTTGCAAGTAGGCTTCTTCCTGATTATGTACTTAATTTCCAGGTTTGCTTTAGTCCTTACTAATAATGATGTTAACCAATGATGATTTGCAGTAGTTCTAGTTTGTTATTTAACAAAATTTGGATTCAAATTTATCCACTTTCATGTTAACCTAATTCCACTTCTTCATGTTTCAGATTCTTGATTCTTTGACTACAAAATTTGTGGTATCATTTTCCTCTTCCATCTTTCATTGGCATGATTACTTAATTCAAACTCCAGATAATGAAGGATATGTGTGTGTATATATATATATATATATGTATATTATTATATATATATAATATATAATAATTCATTATCACCAAAAAAGATAGATATAAGCATATTAGCAGACACCATGCCTCTTCAACTTGAAAAAAAAAAAGTTTCCATTTTATTAACCTATGACAAATAATTTAATTCACAAAGTTAAAAAATAAATAACTCCAAAAAATACCAAATTTTAAAAATTGAATTGCGTAATTGAAATAATTTAATGGCCAATTTGATATTTTTAAGGTTCTACTGGAATAGTAATATATTATATATATAGTTATATATATATATAATATCATAGATATATATATATATATATATATATTATGTACAACTTTTTGTTGTTATATATATATGTACACTTTTTGTGTTAATTTTGGCTGACAATTGAGTTAAAATTAAACTTTCAAATGAAATTAAAACTAACAATTAAAAATTAAAATTTTAAATTTAAGAATATGAAATATAGTTAGGGTTTTTTCCCTGCTTTTGATCATTAAGCCCTGTCCATTAATTTATTTTTTTCAGTTGGTTCAACTAAACGCGTTATATATAGATGTTTGTAAATTCCGTTTCTAATCTGTTGCCTCTATGTGGTGCCCTTTTCTTTGTGAAATTTAGTAACGGAGAAATCTATTTCTAACATATTTGTTTCTAAGTCACCGCTAATCCATTTATGTATTATTCATTGCTAATTAGCTGTCCATTTCTAAAAATCTGTATTCATTATTCAAACTGAAATATTTTTTTTTAGCGTTATGTTTAATGAAGAAAATATCAATTTAGAATTGGCGAAGATAAGATTGAAGTTTCGTGAAATCTAACTTTTTTTTTATATCCAAGTAGTGTTCAGTCTTTAAAATTAATGAGAAATGGTCAAAATTATCAAATTGGAACCAAAATCAATAACACAATCTTTATGGCGCTGTCAATAACACAATTCTTCCATGAATGCAGCTCAACTTTATCAAAATTGCTCAACTTTATTAAAATTGCTCAACTTTATTAAAATTGCTTTACCCAAAAGACCAAATCAAAAACAAAATGCAACTCAACCAAATCAAAATTGATTTATTAAAATTGCTCAACTTTAATAAAAATCCATGTTATTTTGTAAAGTAATTTTTTTTTTTTTTTTTTTTTTAAGTAAAGTAATTTTTTTTTTTTTTTTTTTGAAAAAAAAGAGAAAATTAGGTGGGATAGGAATATCTAGTCTTCCCATATCTTCCATTCTTAGTCAAGATTAATTTAACGTTTTGTGATAATTCTATTAAGCTAGTAAACTGTTAAATAATGAATATTAGTTTTAGTAATATTGTTATTTTATTATATAAAATCACAATAAAGGGGTATTATCTATATAAACTAAATGTCCCTTAATTAATCTAATTATATGCAATCAAAAAGTTATTGGGACTAGCTAAACAAATCATGTAAGTTTGGGGATCTAAATGAGATTTTGACACCTATGGCATCCAATACGAATCTAACAGCTAACTACAAGTTCTTAGACTTCTGCAAGTAAGAAGTCACTTCACAGTCGAACACCTATATATACATCCCGTAAAGAGAGAAATTTAGGCCAACACGAAAAAGAGATCAGCTGAATGAAAGGGTGGTGGTGGGTACGTGGAGATTGTCTTTATCTCTCTGCTAATTATATTGATCATCTGCACAAATACTTCAAGAATTCAAAGCAGCAACTTCTACCCATAAACAATCAGCGGATCACCTGGAATGGTAGTATCACTGAATCCCATTTCAGAAGAAGCCAGCAGTTTAATGGAATCCGAGGTGAGCCAGAGTCTTCTCAAGCGAATTATCAAGCCACTTAGATATTCCAGTTATCGAGCATTATCAGAAAAGCACCCAATATTGGGCCCCCCCGCCAAGTGAAGGAATATATGGTAAATTGCCTTGGAAGCGCCTTCTGGGTTCAAAAAACGCGCGCGTTTGGCAAACCTTCTACAATCGTTGCAGTCAAGCGAGGTGCATGAATTTGAATAGAAGATTGAACGGGAACCAATTATTGTTCTGATTTAAAAGAAGTACTGATGAATGTTTATAATGTTTATGTTTATGTATGTGTTAATCTATGGTTGGTTACCTATTATTAATATAATTAAATAAGGCAAAAATGTCAGAATGAAGCTTGAGTTCAGTGGTATTGAAATCGTTTCTTCAGTTGTCGTATAATCATGCTAAGGTTTTGTCCGCAGTCTCGAACAGAGCATAACTTTGTTGTCTTTCATTGTGAGGATCTGTATTCTTGTAGTTAATGGTCTAGCAAATTTGAAATATCATATTTACTATTTCTTTTAGTTTGTTTTTTACAGGCTACTAAAAATTCAGACAGAAATACAATGAATCGTAAACAAAGAGTATTTTTATAAGTGTAAACATTGCAGTGGAGATATACTTAATTACATTATAATATACTACAATTGACTCAACCGTACAAAATCTGAGTATTGAAATTAGTTATTACTTTTAGAATATACTTAAATATAAACATAGCCTTTGGGAATTAATTTTTCCTTAGAAATAAATTGGTTTTTTCTTCCTTATAGTAAAGGAAAAATAAATTAAACGATTTATGATTAAGTTAGATTAATAATTTAAAGAAGTTTAAACACAGTACCTCGCAATATAAAAAACAGAAGGCTTTTACGCGTAAGAAAGTGATTGGAGGTGATAAGTGGACTTTTTTAGTTCAGTAGATATATATGATAATGTAAGGTCAGAAGCCTTTTTGAAAAAGCACTTACACGGGAGCAAATTACATAATCCAGAAAACGTTACTAATTTCATATTAAAAAAGGTCTATATTACTCCACAAAAGAAAAGAGAAACAAAGGGGATTATAACCTGTAAGAAACAAACAAAAAATTAATATATTGAAATAAATTAATAATTAGCAAGCTATTACATATTTCAATAACCTTTACTTTTGGTTTTTATTTTTTATTTAACAGAAATGATGAAATTTTCTTGCTCTAACTATTTTTATGTAATATTTTATGATAGAAAATGAACATTCTAATTTCCAAGTAATTGCATTCTAATCATTCACGGGAAAAAAAGATGATAAAAACAACAACACTTTTAAAAAAAATCTTTAAATGAAATTAAATGCTTTTGGAATTGGTCTCAAGGTGAAAATAGAGAAGGGTATCACATAAACAATTTTTCTTTTCGTGGAAGGCATCTATTATTGTAGATTATAGTTCAATTGTCACCTCACGAACAAGAAAATCTCTAAACAGGACCAGGTAAAGTAAATATCTAACCTTAAAGATGAGAAACAGAACTCGAAGTATTGGAAAAAGTTGAACCGTGATAAAGAACTCAAAAAGCTAGGAAGTTTAATTAGTTCAGAACACCCCATTAAATGGAATGTAACTACCCATGTTGCAAGTTTTGTAAAAGTCGGATCGAAATGACCTGGGACCAGCTCAGGTTGGGCCCACCCAATTTTTTTTTTTTTAGAAAAAAAAAATCTGATAAAAAACTACGTTTTGATACTTGAAAGTATAACAAATTATATTTTAATTCATCTTGGTTGAGCCTCTTAAGCCCTGCACATACAAAATGATAAAGAATAACCTAAGCCCTCCAGCAAAGTGATTTTGACACGGTGACATGCCTAAGAATCTGCATGTCACATTTTGATAAATCAGATTTTTTTTTTTTTATGGACTAATTAGTTTTAATGCATAGAAAAACTCTATATAAAACGTTTTCAGGCAATTAAATATCGTTGTCATTCAGAAAAATTATCAACATATTGCAACATCAAATCCTTAACCAACAATTATGTTGGCATAATTAGTGTTAAGAATCTCACATCAACTTAAATACTAAATCCACGAAGGACATACAAGCAGCGCTAAGTTAGCTAGCTTAATTGGTTAGTTTTACTAATATTTTAATAATGTTTGGTCAGCCCCAAGTAAGCCCTGTCATACATATTCATCTCATAGGTTCTAACCTCTCACCTAGTCCACCTCTATTCTTTAAACTTCTAATAATGGTATCAGAGCAAGGTCCGGCCTCAGTCCAGTTATTCCTCAAGTTCCCGTGTTTTGCAGCTGCGTTTCAAATTCAGGCCTCGTCTAGATGGTCCGTCCCTAGTGAGGGCCCATTCATGGGGCAAGAAGGCCGCATACCATGGGCAAAAAGGCCAATTCAATTTTCAGGGGGCGAATTTTCAAGTTTCAAGTGTCAACCAGAAAGTCCAGGCCCGGTTGCACTTGAGGGGGAGGATTAAAGAATCTGCACATCAACTAAATAAATTACCAAATTCCACAAAAGGACATACAATTGGTTTAAGTACTAATCTTTTAACAATGGTTGGCCCAAGTAAGCCCCATATCAATATATTTTCGGGTTCTAACCTCTCACCCAGTCCACCCTATCATTTTAAACTTCTATAATTATATGCTGAAATAATTAGTATTCCCTTAACCAAAAATATATAAATATTATAATTAATCTCGATTACAATATATAAAACATTCATAAATACTAATTTTTTTAAAAAAAAATTAATTGTTTAATCTCATCACTTAAATTTGATAGTGAATTTAGAAAATAATTTCAAAATACATTGTCGTTGTAAATAATCTTTTGAATGGTATTATTTTTGTGATAACCTCATTTCAATGTGCTACATTTTTAAATTTTAATTTTATATATCTAATATTAGAAAAAAATTATCTTAAGTTTTTTTAAATTTCTATTATAAGATCATAATAATTAATAACGCTTTTTAGGTAATCAATATTTTTTGTTTCACTCATTCAATTCTTTTTAGTAATGTGTTAATAGCGATAGCAGTAAGTTTTTATATTTTCTTTAATTGTTTTTTATATCAATTTATTATGGAGTTTAATTATATATATACAACACTATATGTCATTTGTTATAAAAGTTTTTGAAAATAATTTTAACAATTTAAGTTTAATGTTATTAAATCATTTACATAAATTAAAGCATTGTCACTCGATTTATAAATATTTCATAGTTTAAAATAATTTTAATTATAGAATACAATAATTCTACGATTATGAAATTTAATTGGTAGTTGTGTTGTTTACGGTACGAAGGGGTAATTTTGCCAACCAAAACATTTTTAGGTTTAGGTAGAATTTAGAAGGCCTGAGGAGCTGTTGCAGGAGGAGGCGCGGGAAGATGAAGCAAAGAGGCACGGTCCGCCGAAGCACCCAAAACAATTCGCATGGAGCCCAACGCCGGCCATAAAATCACGAAACGGTAATTTACCACACTTACAAGAATCATTCTTCTTTCTAAAAAAAAAAAATACAATTCAAAATAGTAAGTGGAAACGAGAAAAGCACTTTCACTAACTAATTCGATTCAAAAAGTAGGAGGTTGGAGGGAAGCTGAGAACCTCTATCGGAGATCACCGGAGTTTGGCCCCTCGCTTGTAAAAGAGCAGATAGATTGGAAACGCCGGATACGGAAAATACAAGCCTTCCTCTCCGAGCCTACCAAGTGGTACTATTATATTGTTGATTTTCTTTGTAAATTTAGCCTTTTATTGTTTTCTGTAATTGAAAAGGAAGCAAGTGATTTTAATTTAGAAGATCGGACTATTGATTTGAATGTGTTAAATTTTTTTTTTTTGAACAGCCAAGAGCTTCTAAACGTGCAGTTCGTCAGGCTTACCATAATTTTATGTTCCTGGTTAGTTGCTTCTTCTTTTTCATTGCTTGAATTTCAGTTATGTAATTTAAAAAAAATTTAGTTTTTTAGCTATTGGGTTTTTTATTTAGGTTGTGCAAAGGGAGCAAAATGTATGGTTGCAAGTGTTGTTGCCGTGTGACCGTATTATTGGCAGGTAGTTTGTTTTAAGTTTTTATGGAATATTAAGGATTTTGCTGGTGAATGTTGTTTTTTTTTTGAATTTTGATGTTAATAATGAAAAAGAAGAGTTTTAAACGTGCTGGTGCTTTTTTATTTATGGGACTCTGCCTTGAGTTAGAGGTGAGCAAAAAGCACTTGAGGAGGTGGTTGGTTTGTTTTGGATATCTTTGTGCAATTTGCTTGTTCAGGTCGGACAATTTATATTGTGTTTTTTTTAGTTGGAAAGTACTGAATTTTCAAATGGATTTATTGTAGGCCATTAAAAATGCTAGAGAGAGGGATCGGAGGACTCTCCTGACGTGCTGTAAAGCTCCTGGGCTAATTTTCCTTTGTTTGTTGAACATATAGGTTTTCTCTGTTTAAGGAATAAAAATGTTTCCTTTTCCAAGTTTCCTTGGCTTGCTTGAATTTTCATAAATGAGAAGCTAGAATTGCGTTTATGGAAAGAAGTATCCAGAAGGGAGTTCTTTCTATATTATAATACATTTGTTTTCGCACCCACTCTCTTTGGTAGCTTCCTGTCCTCTTTGATGGGCTTAGGTAACTTCAATTATGAGCCGTGTTGTAGACACATTTTGTTTTAGTTGTTATCTTGTTGTTTGATTTCGGGCAAATTTACCTTGGGTCCATCTGATTCGAGAAGATGGGGAGATGCTTCCATTAGTCAGTGGAGGAGATTTGATGGAATAATGAGACTTTGACATTGTGTTGGGTGGATGCAATTTGAAATGGAGTGGATTGGATTTTATGAATATTACCACGTCGGATAAACAATTTGATTGAAGTTTGGATTTGAAGTACCTGCAGAACGAGCTGTAAATTTTGGAATCGAACCAATTTCTCATCCCATATTATCTAAATCCTCTTTCAAGTGAATCTAAACACGAGTAACTTGAATTAATGAATTTAACAACCTCTATTTGGAAATCTTTTTATTTTCTACTCAACATCAATGGATATATGGGGACGGCAATTGGAATTGGAATAAACATGTGCATGTGTGGGTCTATGTAGATATGCCTGATGAATTTTTGATACATAACGTATATGAGGTCGATTGGGCGTCCTTTAATGGTTGTAGTAATCAGTTTTATTCAATCATAAGATTATACAGAAGTGAAACAAGTAAATCCCAAATGGTAATTGAGGTTCTTTAGGTACTCTTTGGTCATTTAATCTTAAAGTAAGCATTTCTCTTTGTTCTTTATTGCCCTAGATTAGTTTTTTACTGGCATGTTTGTTATTATTATACGAAATACTGAATGTTTTGTTAGTCCTGTGTTGAATGCATCAGATGAACAAGGTACATCAAAAAGGTGCAGCAAAACCTGCAAACAATGAAGGCAATGACAAAAGGTTGGGGATCTTGTTTCGCGTCCTCAACTCTTGAGCATAATGCTTGCAAAAAGCAGGGAACATAACCGTGATCTCAAGGGTCATAATGAACCTCGAGCATGTTGGTGAAGAAGAGGAAGACGAAGATGATGATGATGAAGAAGCTGGAGGCGAGATGAAATTGAAGAATGAGAAGACCATTTAAAGTGAAGACAATGATGAAGACGGTGAACTGAAGCAAGCTGGCTTTTTTAGTTTTATGGGATCTTCTCCGCAGTAGAGGACATGGAATATGAATTTTTGGCTTTGTTTTTTTTGTTGATAAGGCAAAACGATAATACACCTACATTCTGAGAAGTATCATTTTCTTTGGTTCTATTTATTTATTTTTGTTGTATTTTCAGTTGAAGCTAATAGTTAATTAGTGAATTCTTTATGGAAGACATAGCAATCTTTCTGTGTGTCCCTTGCAATAATAAGCAAAGAAGAATCAAATATGAACCATTTGAATAATCAACAATCCCTTTTTAAGTGGTAAATTTATAACTTGACAATTTTCTTTTTCTTTTTTCATAAGAAATTGTTTTCTACATTAATCTTTTTTCTAATGTTTAATGAATTCTTGTTAAATAATTATAATAATTATTCTTGTTAAAAAAATCAAACAGTTTTGTTTGTCCTAATTTTTTTAAGATATTTTTTGTACATTTTTGCTTCATATATGTTTTGTACACTTTAAGTTTGTTGCTAAATGTCTGATAAGAATGAACTGATTGATGTATTTAATTTTATTTTACACGAAATTCAATAACAATATATCATATTTACCCCTTGTGAAGTCATTTGAAATATTGGAAATAATTTATCCGACTTAATGATTACTCTATCTCATTTATTTATAAAATAGTTTTTGTATAATCAATTTGTCTTTTTAATATTATTCATTTTCCACCCATATTTTTTGGAAAATTGAATAAGATTGAAAAAAAAAAAACAATGCATGAGTGGTCCACAACCGTTGGCGATTGGCAAGATCTTTATGAAATGAAAGTTCCTAGGTAGTATTTAATTATGATTAAGCAAACAAGAAGTAAATGCTAACGCTTTCATCCGTAAGCAGACAAATTACTTATTTTTAGAGCTATGCAAGATCAAGAAACTTTCCCCTAAGACCACTGTTTGCCATCTCCAAAGGCAAAGATCAATAATAATAAAAATTTAAAAAAAATAAATCAAGAATCTGGGGAAAATGAAACATGAATAAAAGATAGCAGAAAGGATCTGACCATCCTATTGCAGAAGGTCAAAATGGCTCAGATATTAAATTCTACCAGGATAGCTCCTAAAGAACAAGTTTTAGAAACACAAAACCCATCTCAAGAAAATGCAAAGCAAAAGATCTTTAAAATGGCCTTTCAAGAAGCTTTCTTGCAATGCTATGTACACTTTTTGCTTATTAGCCTCTTTAACAATTATATTTTGAAGTACCAGAACCCACCAAAATATCCAAATATCCATTCTTTGCCTTATTCAATTCATACCCCAAGTTTCCTGATTTGCAAATCCAATTGGGAGTTTTAACTAAAAGCAACTGCATGATGCAAATTCAGATTCCAAAGCCTTAGCAAAATTTTCTGATCAAATTCTTTTCATATAGCTGTATCCTTTGGACAAGCTTGCAAGAGAAATCTAGAAGTTTAATCAAACATGCTCCTGACTAGTGATGATGATGATCAAATGAGCAAAATTGATGAAGAATTTTAGTGAACCTGAAGAAAGTGAAAGAATAAATCAAGAAGAAAGACCAATTAGGTTGTGAAAGTCTTCAAATTCAGGTGAGCTTCAAAACTATATTTCACCAAACCAAATAGACAAATTGGGAGTAAAAGAATTTTCCCATTTGGAGTGGACATAATCAGTTCCTTCTGTTAGGACTAGGCTATGTGCCTCATAATGCAAACAAATTTAGATCAATTTATGAAGTTATAAAAATGTATAGCAATGTGTCTGATGATTGGGACTTAGCTCAAAAAACTAATAATCAATGGTGTGATCCATGCAGAAAGGAGATGCATGATCAAGAAACACCTCCAAAGTATAGTAAATCCCATTTCCTATAAATTCCCTCCCTTTGGACCCCACCTAGTACTGGATAACATATTTGTGGAGCCCATTATAAATGCAAAGGTTATTCTTGTCTTTTTTGCCAATGAAACAGTGGGAAAGAGGGTTTCTTTAAATGTGCAGCCCATTGGTTTCATCTTTCAAAAGAGGATGGGAAATTCCCAAACAAACGAGTCTATTTCAGCTGAATTTACTATTGATGGAAGTTTTAGGATTAAAGACAGGAGAGATAAGAATAGGGCTTGAATTTTAGCCCTACAACAGGCACATTTGCTGCACTTTATGAGAGAAAAGAAATGTTAACAGTTCGGACAGCAAACATTGAACTTAGGAAAGCTCTTTTAATGAATTATTGCACTAAGAGGCCTTTGCCTCTATAACTTATCGATTGGTTAAGATTGCCACTTTTTTTGATAATACACTTGACATTATTCAATTCTACTCTGTTCTTGCGAATTGGGTGGATTGGTATAGAACTTCTCCAGTTTGTGCTGTTCGATTGGGGATCGAGGTTCTTCGACCCAAGGGTATCCTTTTGGGTTTGGATCGTTTCTTCCTGTTAAGAAAGAATATATGAGCTTTACTTAGATGAGTTCAACAAAGGCTAGGGTATAAGAAGTTACTATGGAGAGTTGTGCCAAAGACCGATAACTCGAAGATGAACTCTTCTTCTCTGGTGTGCTAGAAAAGCCAATTAGGAGACAAATTTGTAATATTGTTTCAGTGACTACAAAGAAATGAACCAAATTTTGTTAAATAATAGATTGTATTTCATTTCTGCTAAATGGCAGTATCCAAATATGCAGCAAGAAATACACAGAAATCCATTCAGAATGGAAAAATTGCAAAGGCATTGTTTCTAACAAGGCTAAAATTCTTTAGAATAAAAGTACACTTGCTGTGGGCCTTCGTGCGGGCTGTGCCATAATGAAAAATGGATACAACTGTATTAGCCCTCTAATTGATTCAATACAATCCTGAAAAGGAAAAAAAATCTTGCTTGAAAGATATTGGCCATGTTCCAAAAGGCCGATTGAAAACTGTACCACTAATAATGAGGTTGACCTAACTGTTAATCTGCAATTCTGTTTTCAGTAATACAGAGTACAAGAGAATTCTTGTTGTATCTATTCTAGTAATGCCATCTTCAAGGATAAGTTGATTACATGTCAGCTTCACCGCTGTCAGCCATAATCTTTGCCGATGTCAACATGGCAAGAAGCAATAGCTCTCAAGCAAAAATTGGTAGGCAGGATCACATCTATGCCTCTTTTGCACAAAATCGCTTCCTAGATAGACAAACAAATAAGGTTTTTTAGATTGGAGCTTCATATATATAAAAAAGAATAACACTGCAAAAAACACACGAACGTGAAAAGAATGTCCAGCCAATAGGGAAAAAACAAATAAATAAGCAATACATTAAAAGACAAAAAATCAAATTCTCATATTAACAGAAGCAAAAGAGTTAGCATATGCTAGATTTATGATCCAATATGAATTAGAATGTATAATTCATGCAATCTCTGAAAGTCATAAATCAAGCATTAACTTGTTTGGGAGTCCTGAATACAAGAACGTTAGGAATATAGGCCCTCCTTTCATAGTGAAGTTCAGTGTCCAAGCAGTACAAAGTCAGACTGCAAAAGATAGGATCATTAACACTATAAAAGAAGACATTGGAGGAACGCACCTGAATGTTACGAGTTAATTCATCAAAATCATTTTAAACCAGAAGAGAATGTCCTTACTCATAATATTCATAAGGCTAATATCATTGAAGGTTCCCATGCTGACATGCTGAAAAATCTTGGCCCGAACCCCTATATAAACCTGTCCAACCATCATCTTTATCAAGTTTTTTAATCAACTTGTCCTGGCAGAGCTTTTCCTTTCTTGTCCCATCACCCTAACAATGAAACAACTATTACAGGGACAAAAATCAAAAAATAATAATAGTAAGTGTGGTCCTCGATGCACAAGATTTCCAGCTCCAAAAGTGAAAGGTCAGACGCATGGCAATCTTCCCCTTGCATTTGGTGGCAAAGGAGGTTGTTCTAGTGATTTTGGAGCTGCAACACTCCAAGTCATCTTACTTAAGTTCACCAAGCATATCCTCACAGTTATTGAGACACAACTTTAAATAAAAAGAACAGATAAGTAAATTAGTTAAAGTAAATTAAGTATTCTCGAACAATCCTATATTATTAAAAAGTAATAAATGTATTCCAAAGTATTCCCTTCTATTTCTAAGAGAATTTAGGCTGGCATGCTTCATTTGCACTTGATTCACAAAACTACAAATTTCAAGAAAAAAAGAAACCAAGCATGATCTGCTTCAAAGCAGCAGGACTTCAGCAACAATTAACCCATATCAAGAGAGAGTTGGTTTCTAGGTTGGATTTTCAACAGAAATATGATTTCTGATACTCTTTTTCATTCTAGTTTAGGAGCATTTCAGTGGAAGCTTTTTTTTTTTCTTTTCTTTTTTTTTCAAAAATATTTCTTCTCCAAGTTAAATTTGAGGATTCTACATGTCTTCGAAAAAGATCAATCGGAGCTTTCAAAAACAATATATTTGAAAAAATGGAATGCAAATAATTAAGGACCAAGAAGGTTTACAAGATAATAGTGGCCCAGTGAAATGAGACAAATTGTCAAATGAGTCAGAGATTGTACACAGAGAAAAATGATAAGACTGTAACCCAATCCAACTGTTGGTTCTCAATGAAGCTCCACTGTTGGTGGTTTAGTTGCATGTTACCATTCAAAAAAAAAAAAAAAAAAAAAAACATGGTTGCTTAAAATTTTTATCCCTTGAATTTTTACAAAAGATACTTTTGCTTATAATAAATCTTTGTTTGATTGTGCAATTGTCGAAATAAAACACTTCCATATATATTTGCCAAATGATAATAAATAAAATAA